GTGGACGAATATAGGTAATGTTCGTAATTTTTTCTGGGTTGTGCAATATCCAGCAAACCCTATAATGGGTAGTTTGCGATTGACATCCGCCGAATCATCGAAATGGTCCGATTCATGTTGGAAAGTTGACCGGCTGGAGCGTCCAATAATTAGGACACCATTTCTGCTGGCTTTTGTCATAGAACATCTGTAGAACCATGCCAATTTCGGATTCCAAACTCGAGTAGAATGGTTAAAGAGATCGCAGGGATTTGACTCCCTTAATGAAGGCATCGATACGCCCTTCCATTTGCGGACAGCCACACGAGTCCAGCAACCCATAAACATGGGATGTCTGGAGCATTGCTGGAAACGGCATGGGGGAGCCAGCACGTAACTGTAAGCACAAGAAGTAAGAAAATAATCTGATAATCACCGTGACTTCACTCACTGGATAGCCTGTCTTCTCCATGACCCGAATAGGGCTTATCTCGCATGAGCGTGAGCTTGAAGAAAGCTTTTCAAAAAACGGGTGAGATCTTTCTTGAGTGTGTGAGAGATGAGAAGTGAAAAGTAAGAAGTAAGAGGTATCAAGCTTCCAAAAGTTGCCAAATCAGGAAATTGCATTTCCAATGTGGGAAGGTTCCTTCCAAAAGAATATACGATCCTCGTGACCACAGTCCAGTCCTCCAACATACCATCTCACATAACTTCTCACTATTCCCATCACCTTCAACTATGCCTCAGCCCAGGTAAGTGCTGTGTCTGGCTTCTTTGTCCTCGTAAGACACGATGAGTGGCACGAGCTAGCATCGACTGCGAAGCTCACTCAGCCAACCAACATGATACCTGCCACGGTCTTCGGATCACCAAGATACAAAACAACAAGGCTTTTGTTGCTTAAACAATGAGCAAGCAAAGGCCCCACAAAAATGAGCTTGATAGCTGCAAACAGGAGCAGCTCGGATACAAAGTTTAACGACACTGATAACTGCTATGCTCATCGGGGCACCACTAGCCCGGTCGACGAAGAACGAGCCCCGATAATAGAACAAACACCCTATCCGAGTGGAAAATCGGATACCATGAGCCTGAGTTTCCTGTGTTAGAAACTCTTCGCCATACTCTTTGCATCTCACAACTCTACTAAATGTCAATTGATGGGTTCGGACTACAAAGTTCTCCCAATAACACTTGGTCCCCATCAACGCAAGTCACGAGACCTTATTGTAAGCCCCACTGTGCTACGAGCCCGCCCCCAAGGTGTTGACATTTCCTGGATAGATTGAAAGCCAGGCCCCTTTGTCTGTTGTGTTATGATATGATGCTGGCTTGTGCAAATTGTCACTGGGACATACTGGAGCCACAAAGCCCAGGCCTGGCTCATCTGAATGACCGAGACCCTTAGGGGCACATTGCTCTGTGGGACCAGTGCATTAAAATGAATCTTGGGTATGAACTGAAATTGTTAAACTTATCATGAACACGTACTAATATGTATGTGTCAGCGTACCTATCCTCCAGACCATTCACCTTTGGCCCCGTCTGCCTCTCTAATTCAACCTTGGAAGCCATGATTGGACCTAATGATCGAAACCTGCCCAAGGTCCCTTGGAATCTTGGGCTCTTTCGATGCGCGTGCATGTGTAAATAAATCTCGCCCTTCATGTCATAACTCTTTTTGGTATTACGTGATCTCGTTTATAGTAGTACATAGTCCCTCCTCTTCCTTTCTTCTCTTATTCCCCCTGGATGAGCCTTGTCGATATATACAAATACAGTCATATCAATTTCTCTGCCGCTTGCACCCATGATTATTGATTCATGGTCAGCTTGCATGCGTTATTGCTTTTGTAGACTCATCATCCCCTGTATCACTTCCTTCTCTTCTCGAAAAAAGTGAGAGTGGAATAACACTTCTCGACTGATGTCGGCGTGGAGTACTTTGAATTCGATTATTTGAATGATAACCTCGGTAGCTCGCTGACTGCGATATGCCAGCGCTGCTGGGAAACAGCCTTGGAAACAGCTTGTTCACGATCGGCTTGGTTGCCGGGATGCTGGCAGCGATGATAGCGACAGCCAGTTCGACTCCTGACCAAACAGAAATCGAAAAGGTATCCCAGGAGGGGTCTGAGCTTCTCCAGAATTTCACAAGGTAGGCCATCCGCATGATGCTGGCTATACACGAACTTTTGTTCAGTTAGCATGCTTATCAACTCAGTAAAAGTCCTGCACATACAAGGAGCCTAATGATAGCAAAACAGCGACAACAAATCTTTTCCTAGTTTGAAGCTGAAGACCTGCAATTGATTAGAGTGATAGCTTAGACTTGGATCTGTAGTAAGCACAAACCTAGAACTGTTTTCAGTGGTAAGAGAAGAACCCAAATATCCGTCAACAGAAACAGCGCGGCGGTCGTATACCAAAATGGAATGGATGCAAAGCAAGTATAATGCTTATATTTATCTTGGTCGAAAACAGCATCGATCGGGGAGCACTGAAAGATGGTTGCAAGGATGATTGCAACACTCATGGCCGTGATGAATGCGATTGTTCCAAGTGAGATGAGTCGCATGTTAAGGAACACGCGCAGATATAGTAGACAGATTGATACCTTGATCAAACCGCTGATCAGAGTATAAAAGATGCGAGTCACATGTTCTAGCTAGATTGTCACATTGGTCAGCCCTCTTCTTTTGGTTATTGTTTTCTCCTATACCTTCGCTATAGGCAGCTCGTCTGCTTGGTTGAGATCCCATTTGTGCTTTCCTATTCCATGGCTGACCCCTATTAACGACACGGTAAGAGATGGGATAACCAAATAAGGAGTAGAAAGGCCTACCAAGCCCCTCAACCACCACATTCAAAATTGTGAAAATCGTCGCAACGACCATTATCCAGTCGTCCATGCCGACCATTTTCACAATGAAAGTCCTTGAGATCACACGAAGAATCACGATGATCGCTGCGATGCTGGCCACCGTGCCATTGATAATCATTAATAGAGGCCCACGGTTCTCGACCTAGATGGGATACTTAGAGATCGCCAAGATACTGTTTTACCTGGACCTTCACTTACATTGGATCGCGGCTGAAGAAAAGTCTCCATAATATATAGATGTCTGACTTAGAAGGATGAAGGACCATAAATCCAACCGCTATATGTTGTACAAGCCCCATATTAAATGATTTTCACCCCAGGAATTCGGTTAGGCCAAGGCGGCGATTCCGTAATTTTCAATGACGTTTCGAATGACCCCCTACCCCTTATACCCCATATACGAATTACAAAGTATAATATTTCGGTCTAGAACCCTCGGGAACCTCAAAATTAACTTCTATATATACCGCTGTGCCTCGGGTCTTTGGGGGATTGGTACGGAAGAAATAAAGATTGGCCCGAAGGTGCAAGGATATTCATTGGTTGAGTAGATCTGACATGATTGGATATAGATACCTTCCAAAGTTGCATTGAATACGGAGCATGCAGGGCCTACACCTATGCATTTCCCCATGGCCCCCAGAAGATAATGACAATATTGGAGCAGAGTCGATAAATAGTCCTGGTCTGGACTTTGAACCCTTCCCCGGTACTTAAATAGGGATTAAACTCCACCTTCCGCGCGTCTCCCAATATTGATTCGCTGCTGACCGGGGAAGGATCGGATACAAGAGATGCCCGAATCCTTCTAGAAATTAATATTTTAACTATGTTATTATACTCTCTACTCGTGGCAACCCCACCCCCTTGGATCACTATTTCGGCGAACCCTCGTCATTTTCACACTGCCACAATGCTTTGAAAGTATTCCAAATAAGTTGGTATCGCCAAAGAATCCCTCCTAAGCCAATCATATTAATGTCAAGTGAAATTTCGAAGTATTGGCGCCATACGAACCTATACGGGGTAGTCGTCCGTGCCTATGGTCGCCTGAAACTTTTCAACAGTCTAGTCAAACTCTCGAGCTTGTTTCAAAGTTAGTGTAAGCTTAAAAGGTACAATTCCCCGAGAATACACCGCCGGTATAGTCCACTTGATACGAAGGGTCTACAGCTCGGCATTCATTTCCCAATTTACTGCGGAAGACCGGTAGGGTGGTCCGAGGGGTCTATTACCACTAGAACAAAGCTTAACTATGCAAATTACTAGATTGTTTTGGAATAAAATGGCCATTTGAAGACCCCCTGTTACTATCGATCTATATAAACTTTCGAAATTTTGCGCCTAATACAGAGAAGTTGTAGAATGAAAGGTAAAGCATATGTGGTTTAGCTCAAAGGCATTTCCATTTATCAGCCACGAAATAAAAGTGATTAAAATAAGGTGAGAAGTGAGACTAAGATATCCAGGAGCCCCTAACCACAATCCATTACAATTCTACTCCGTACTTCGGGACTTGATACTTGAAAGGTTAGGGATTGGGTTTCTCATAGCGGCTTTGTCCAGAAGTGCTACAAAACAAACCCGAGCACGATTTCTACTTTTCTACTTCGGCTTTCCCCTCCCTCCTTTTACTAGACCGATATTTTAATTCTCAGTCGGGACCATCACTCTCATCCACCATAGATCCAGTAGATGGGATGACCCATGAGCTAGCCTCCACAGCTCAATGCCTTGACCTTTGGAGCATCTGGCATTTGACGGTACTAGTAGAGCGCCCCAGGTATAGCCGTAGTCTTGTATCAAATGCCCACAAGTGCAAATTGATCTGTATAAGAAGTACGTCCTGGCATGGTGTCTACATGAGGCCGTTTAGCGTTCTGACTTCCGCTGTCTGCCATACTACGGTTTCAACCACGAAGATTTAAGTAAGAACATATAAAGGCGATATTTTAAAAGGGTTTATTATAGGTAACAGTACTTCGTAGAGTGTAATCTGATAAGTGACTGACATGCAACTATATATTGCGGAACATTATTCCTCCGTGGCTTTGACCTTGCTCAGCACTTTGGTGCCCAATGTCTAGCTACTCACGAATCACTGTCATCACTTTGGGAACGCACTAATACGTTATAAATGGATCCTCTATCTCTATCCCTTGGGATTGCGGGCGTCCTGCCTCTAATTGCTAGCGCTGTTCTTACATCCAAAAAGTACGTACAGACTGTGAGGTCGGCGAGGACGTCAATTGCGGCCTTAATATTCGAGCTCGAAGCCCTTGGATCTACCGTAGAGGATCTGCAAGACCTCCTGAAGGGAGAGACACTTAAAGGTAGTGCTGTGCGATTCCACGGAAGTTCGGTTCTTTTAACCTGCTCCGCTGCGTGTGAGGCAAAGCTGCGAGCGCTCTGTAAGACGCTGGACCAAGAATCCAAGGGGAAAGCACGTCGGTTGCTGTGGCCTTTTACCGAGAAGGAGCACCAGAAGACGATACAGGACATACGCAACTTTACCAACTGGATGCAATTTGCCTTGTCGGTCGATGGCTGCCGGATTCTATCGCAGACGTCAAACGATGTTTTGAAGTTGATGGGACAGCAACTAGAACAGTTCAATACCATCCAGACTCTCGAGGCAGACACCCTTCGAATCTTAGACTTGGTTCAAGAACAGACGCACACAATTCAGGTTAATAGCAAGCGGGAGACTAGAAGGGAAATTTTGAACTGGATATCGAGCTTGAAACACCATCGAAAACATCAGCTAATCCAAGCGTCGAGGGCGCAAAATACTGGTACTTGGATCCTCAAAAAGAAAGAATTTATTCAGTGGCGAGATGGTAGTTCTCCGTCAAATGTTCTTATGTGCCATGGAATTCAAGGATCGGGCAAAACAAACCTTGCGTGAGACTCTCTATCTCGGCTTTCGGATTCCCAACTAATGATCCAGCTCTATCATTATCGACGACCTTCTCGACTCTAGATCCAGCGAGACTTCACCTGTCGCGTTTTTCTACTTCGATCACCAGGATCAATCTACTCAAGGTACATCGGCAGTTCTATGCTGCATCCTTAGACAACTTCTCGAGCAGCTACCGGAAATTCCGAGCCCGGTAGCCGAACTATATGAGAAAAGCGGCCACCAGGGTCAAATGCCTCTCCATGAGTGTGAACGACTACTCACAGGCCTTGTTTCGGGTCATAGGTGTGCGTATCTAGTGTTTGACGGACTCGACGAATCGGAACATAGGAAATCCTTTGTTCAGAGCATTCAGAATGTGGTTCGAAGTCGCCAAATCCGGTTGCTAGTCACGAGTCGGCCTCATATACGAGACCTCATAGATCTTTTTCAGCAGCATCCGAACCTCAAGATCGAGGCCCACGAGGAAGATCTCAGGACATATCTCTACCAAGGGCTCGAACAAGGAGGAATCCATGATATCGCGGATCAAAGCTTTGTGGACAGCCTGGTTGAGAATCTGATGGAGGGGGCAGATGGAATGTAGGTCTTCCCCGTAGTGTATTGTATCTGTCCACCTGTTTCGACATCAGAATAATCCCTGACAAGTATATATTATGCATATTAGGTTTCTACTTCCAGTTTTACGACTCCGCACCGTGCTCAAGGAGCCTACTCTCGGCGACATGGAGGACAGAATACAAGAACTGTCTCAAACTCTCAGCGAAGCATTTGCAGATACCATTTCCCGCATACAACGGCTTCCCGGGAGCTGCAGCCGGCTCGGCATGGGTGCTCTTATGTGGCTCAGTCACACAACTCGGACGTTGACAGAATCGGAGCTCAGCGACGTCTTGGCCATCCACAGTGTGCGTAATGCGGTCGATATTAAGTACCGCCCAGCTACAAAGACCATCATCGAATGCTGTCAAGGCCTTGCAACTATAGATGTGGAGGGTTACGTACGACTTGCGCATTATGCAATCCAAGAGTACTTAACAGAGCATTCGAAGGACCTCTTTCCACGAGCCAGAGCCAAGATCGCGGTGACTTGTCTTCGCTACCTTGCGTTTGAGAACTTCCAGGATGGGCCTTGGCCCACCAAGAAAGCAATCAAAAGTAGGATGGAAATGTACCCCTTCCTCCCATGGGCCGCAGTGAACTGGGGACGATTTGTCCGACAGACAGAAACCGACGAGGAAGTGTCGTCTGCGCTATTCGCATTCTTCTCCTCTGCTTCTGCTACGGCCGTGGCTAACCAAGTGCGACAGTGTTCAAAGGGCCTAAACAAGAAATACTGGAATGCAGATGAATGTCGCAGCTTCTCAGCACTCCACCATGCGTCGCGCCACGGACTCAAGCAAGCGACCACCCGGCTCCTTGATAGCGGCGACTACAGCGTTAACGATGTAACGCAGATGGGAACATCAGCTGTGATTCAGGCCGCTGCGGCCGGGCACGTGTTGATGACCCGGGACCTGTTAGCACGCGGCGCCAATCCACTCCTTTGTAACTGGTATGGCGACGCGCTGCACTGTGCTATGGAATCGAATAACCCGGGCACCGTGCGCGAGCTTGTCGGCTGGGGAATGCACCCCAATATTGTCAGGGAAAACGGGCGCACTTACCTCTCCTGCGCGATGGCAAATGACTCAGCCGACGCGTTTGCAGCGCTTGTTGAACTCGGCGCAGACATTGTGTTGCAGAGTGAGTCCGAACCTGACGGCCATATATTCTTCACTGCGGTACTCGATGGCTGCGACAAGATCATCAACCTGATGATAAAGCGGAAATGGGCCGACATTAATATGAGGGATCCCGCGGGGCTCACACCAGTGCACTATGCCGCTGCGGCGGGGAGTCGGAAGACTGTGATGAGCCTTCTCGATGCCGGGGCCAATATCGATGCGGTGGACAATGAGGGACGAACGGTTCTATATTACGCGGAGTTGAGAGGCAACAAGGCTGTGGCGAGACTCTTGCTAGACTCAGGGGCTAGACCTTCGCCTCAAACACAGACATGACACTCTTGCTACAACATAGATTATCAAGGTCTACTTTAGCTCGGCCGTATTCGCCCATTCAAATAATTTGTCCCTTCGATTATACATACGCCTGCTCAGTTTCACCCATCTGCGTTTATCTTGGAAAAATGCGACATTAATATAATACAACATAAGGGCAAAAGGGGTCATTTTTTTTATTTTTCATCTCCTAGCTCTCATTTCAAGTACTCATGCAAAGTACAGGAGAGCAGTTTTGATTATGCATTGGGTCCTCGCTTGCGGAGCAGGAGCCTGTAAGGGCCAAAAGAACTCCCCTCTCACTTATCCCCAATGATAATTTTGCTAAAGTGCATCTAACCAGGGGTGTCGCAAGATATCCTCAGCTGAAATCCGATCATCGGGATTAATTTTCATCATCGCATGCAAAAAAGAGGCGAACTCATCCCTAACACTTTGGTCAAGACCTGGTAGAAATGCTTCCGATGCCAGCTCCGGCCGGTTCATCGGCAGCGAGTCCTTGATCCGACCCTCATCATCAAAGATGGCGTGAAAAATATCCTTATTCCCTCTCTCTAAAAGCTCCTTGGGGAACGGCCCAAAAGAATGAAAGGAGCCATCCCTTACCCGTATGAATAACATTATGCTCGTGAGCAAAATCAAGCGTCAGTAAGATTTGAATGGTGAACCTGCGCGTTACCGAGTTCAGAAGTCTGCTTTCGACGAACCAAGCGCCAAAGCTCCGTAGCGTCTCACCCACCAGCTCAAACACTAGGCAGACGTGTGTCCCGTTAGGTCCGCTGTGCTCAAAATCATCCAGCAGATGACAGACGTGGTCGTAACCAATCTGATATTGGTCCCCGTCCCGAAGATGAGTCAAGATCTCTCGCTCGAAGATGGGGGCTTGCGTGCCATCATAACATTCGGCGCTGAGCACTTTTAAAGCTCGGAAGTCATTCTCAATACTAAGTCTGTTTGGGTGTGTTACCTCTATTTATTCCCTTTTTCTAAAAAGAACCTACTCACCCTGCCGACTGTAGATCTCTGACAAGCCAGACTGTTGAATAGACACCATGTCCGATCTTATTGAGGACTTTGTACCGGTCTTTAAACACATCACCGATATAAACAGGGTGAAATCCTCCTGGTTGTTATACCTGCGTGCCCTCTTCGATATCGCTATTGGTGGTATCGGACATATTGGAGGATCGGACTCAAGGAGAATGACTCGACGTTTTGCAAGTTCGTAGTGATGCTGAGGTTTGAAACGTTGGGCTCTATCTCGCAACGGGCGCCTATTGAGCTTTATAAGCGAAATCTCTGAACCCGTGATTACCATACATTCTACCAAGTCAAGATACGATAAAAAAGCACTGGAGGTTTCCTTTTTAACTGATCCTCAATAAGCGCTCTGTTGGCGACATTTGGATTATACGCTAGACTTTGGTGGGTCATGAGGGATATTGATATTGTTGGTTTAACTATGACTGCTTACATTGACACGAGACCAAAACACGAAAACAGACACATAGGACACCTTTCATCCGACTCATCTCAGTGTATCTCTGCAAGGGCAGCCGCTCTCTGTAAAACCTGTTGTAAAGCCGGACCCGAGTAGGAGAAGCCCTTATCCCTCGGATCAAAAAAGCAAAATTGGAACGGGCGATATATTCTTCTGTCTAGGGACTCTTCCACGAGTGGGTATTCTGGAATCTTCCGAAAGCTCAAAAAATCGTTAACTTCCAGTACACTATGCAGTGTCAAACTGTCGAGCTGGTACACATCTCCACTCAACTCGTGGAGAATGGACCGCCAGCCTCCAAACTCCAGTTTCACAAAAGATAAAGTTACACGGCGAAGAGTGCTCTGAATACTATAAAGAAAGATTCCCAAAGCAGCCGAAGATTGGAATGACATTCGCGAAAAGGTCAATTCTTCAATTTCCGGTAAGCATTCAACCGACGAAAGCTGGGCGAGAAGTGAAGTGGCCTCACACCTCCAGCTGAAAATGATCGTCAGGTTTCTGAGAGACTTGGCACATTGGATCATTTTCGCCATCCAATCTGTAGTCTGGCGCTCTGCATCCGGGAGCGCAAGGCACAGCTCTTTGAGGTGGGCAAAGGCCGGGATCCCAAATGTCGTGATAGCAAATTGCGTTAGCTTATCCTTATCCTGGTGAGATCTTTTTCTGTATTTTATAATGTCTATCGAGAAAGATTCCATCGGAATGTTCTCAGTAGCTATGGCTTCGAGAACAAGACCAGTGGCCTGGTCGAGCGTGATGCCATCGCTGCCGCAATCCGGTTTTGTATAGACTGAATTGCGCAGCTCGAAAGATCGGCAGTTAAACAGGCGTTTTATCACATTGCGCCACGCTTGAATATATGTTCCTTCTGATTTGAGATCAGGGGATAACGGTCCCAGGCAACCTTGTGAATTCCTGATGATCTCCAACTTGCGGACATAGGGGCAGAAGATGTCATCCTCGGCTGCTTTCTCGACCTGCGCAAGCGACCTTGGTGAAAGATTGGTCTTTAATGTGTGTAGAAAGGTTTTTGCAAAGTGGCAAAGGCTGCCCTGGTACATCGCTCGGCAGGTGAGCCGAAGAGCGCATAGATCGGGAGACTTGGTAAACTTGGCGATATTCGCTATTAGTTCAACGGGGAGGCTATGGATACCCGATTCGAGTGCTTTATGGGTGTCCATACTGAGAGGGTATGGGAGTTGATAAATAAAGGAAGTAGTTGGGACAAAAGATATTGGTATAGAACTTGTAGGAGGAGAATAAGATAGAGATGGATAAAATAAAAAAGGAAGAGATGGATGAGAGAAAGAAGAGAAGGATGGAAGAAAAAGAGGAGAAATAGTTGGATAGGAAGCTCCGGTGTTGTTTTGGGAAGAAGGTTTATCGACTAAAGCCAATATACAAGCAAAACACGGAATGCCACCGGTCAAACATCAAGGCCGCTCCTCTTTTTGTCTAGTCATAAGTCACATGGATTTGACTGTTCAGTATATAGATCCGTTACCAAACTATGACATACTGGAGCAATAACATATAATAGCCAATATGGAAGGAAGAGGGGGTACAGAAAGATATAAAAGAAGCTAGATGAACATAATCGTTTCCCCATTATGATTTTATACCAACATGATAATACAAAGTGATGAAAGGAAATTGAACAGTCTTTTTCCCACTGTGGAATTTCCAGTTGGTAAGGTCAAGATCTGGTTGATCCAGCAGCTGCCAGGTTTCCTTTGCGGTGCGGGTTCGAAGACAGGATATAAGCCCATCAACGAAGATAGTCAGAGGTGCCACGGGAAGAATGAACGTGAAGAAGAGATGGACCGGCGAGTCCCAGTACCAAACAAGAGTTACAAAGAAAGTCCAGAAGAAGACCAAAGGCGAGCATAGACAAGTCCAAAGATCGCGTGACGTGATTTCAAATATGCTGAAGAGTATCGAATTAGCTAGCGGGACAAATGATATTGATGGAATGATGACTTGCATAAATGAGTCAGCAGTCTCAATTGCGCTCTTCAGAATTCCAGCTGCATCTTCGTCTCCGAAGTGGTGGAAACAGATGTTGAAGATCCGACACTCTTTCCTCGACTTTGCTGCTAATCGAGGAACAGCTCGAGCATCCACCGGACTCTCGATATATGTGACGTTCTGCTGCTTCTTTGAGATTCGCTCCCACTCTTCAACGTGGGGATAAAGATCGCTCAAAACAAACTGAACAGGCCCCTTGCCCTCGGACTCAAGTTCTTTATTGAGCTCTAATTCAAGGACTGGGGTAGGACCGCCGGCACCAGCGCAGATATCCAGAACTGTGTATGAAGAAAGATCTTTAAGATTCTCTCTGAACACTGCACAGGCCTGTTTGGCGAGACTTCCATGGCTCCATCCGGGAACTTGAAGATTCCACAGTTGGGTGAGAACCAGTTGCTCGTGCTGGTGAAGCCACGATGGGCACCAGGTTTGATCACCGATCTCTAGAAGATGGGATCGAGGCCAAGAGAAGAGCTGCATTATGTTTGTTTGTAGATACTTGCGAGAAGAATTGTCTAGTGAAAGAACCCGAGATGGGCTGGGAAATCACCCAGTCACGTGCTGCCACACAGAATCTGGTGTTACTTTTCAAATAAAAACACAGTGACAACAGAATATCTCCTCTTGGTTGCTTGATGTCTCCGGAAGGTCGTCTCGCTTGGATATTAGCTGTGGCTGTATTAGGGGTAATCTGGCAATGTTTCCCTCAAATTCCACAACTCCTTCGGAATAAATGGCTGTCATCCCCAGATTGACAAGCAGGTCTTAACACACGGCATATTTATTTCATCTCCCACAAACTAAACCTGAAGGCCTATATATCCATCGATATATTGCCTGTATACGAAGTGCATGGTGGTCTGACTCGAAATCCCCACTAGTCCTAATCTGGAACCCAACGCAGTCCGGGGAACATCACTTTGACATCAACGGACATTATGAAGGTTTTTATTGTCGGCGGGGGTCTAGGCGGCCTAGCCTGTGCAATTGCCTGTCGCCGTGAAGGCATTGACGTGGAAATTCTCGAGCGGTCCCCCGAAGTCCGCGAAGTTGGAGCAGGCATCCAGATCCCACCAAATGGTGGTAGGATAATGCGCGACTTTGGCCTGCTTCCCCAACTAATCGAGCATGGAAGTCAGGTACAGCAAGTAGATTTCCGAAGGTACAAGGATGGCCGTCTTCTGCGATCAATGCCATTTGGGGATGATATCACAGAGGAGTTCGGGGTGCCGTGGATGTACGTGATTAGCCTGATCTTGATGGTTACAGACACCCTTAACCCATTTGCAGAATTATTCATCGAGTGGACTACCATCGCATCCTTCTTGATGAAGCAATCCGACTCGGTGCGGTCCTTCAACTCGGGGCAGAAGTAGAGGATATTCACACCGAGCAGCCAGCCGTTCTTCTCACTGATGGGAGATGCATATCAGCAGATGTTGTGATTGGCGCTGACGGTAAGTTGATATATCATTTGCTGGTGATGTCTTTGATTTTTTTTCTGACAAGAAAAGGCCAAATGTCTACCGTCCGAAGGGCTGTTCTTGGATCTCCTAATTCTCCAGTTCCCACGGGCGACATGGCCTACCGAGCAACCTTTTCACGAGAGCAGCTAGAGGCTCTAGGTGATGAGAAAGTAAACGAACTGTGTGAGAAAATTGCGGTCACAAGCTGGCTGGGACCGGAGAAGCATACCATTTTCTACCCTCTCCGTGGTGGAAAGGAGTTCAATCTTGTGCTCATGCGGCCCGATAACTTGTCACCAGACTCTCGCAAAGAGCAAGGAGATATTCATGAGATGCGAGAAAGCTATGCTGACTGGGATGAAACGTAAGGACTCATAGAATAGTCAACTTCAATTTCCCACTAATATGCCTCTCCTTTTCTAGATTGCAAAAGCTAGTTTCTTGTGTGCCGTCGGTATATAAATGGAAACTGACACATCTCTCCGAGCTGGAATCCTGGAGCAAGGTCGGTACACCACCGCGTCCTTCTAATTATAAACCCGCTAACTGGGTCTCACTAGGGATCTGTTGCGTTACTTGGTGATGCCTGCCATCCCACTCTGCCATATCAGGCACAAGGAGCTGCGATGGCCGTCGAAGATGGAGCAGTCATTGGCAAGCTTCTGGGCCTATTGCGAGCTCATTATCTGAACTTTACAAACTCCGGAGGCGATCCCTCGATATCAACGCGATCTTCAGCACAGGATCTCACAGCCAATGTGCTAACCCTCTACGAAAAATGCCGGAAAGCACGCACCGCCCGAAATGTTCAAGGAGCAATCATGAATCGGAAGCTTTTTCACATCGCAGATGGGCTTCTGCAAATGATTCGGGATTTTGTGTTGGGATATGCAGGAGTTACCCGGAAGAGCGATTGGACTTGGCTATCTTCATTCCGACAGGGGCAAACCCTTGGCCTAGATGTGCTGGAAGACTGTAAAAAGGTCTTTGAGGAGTGGAGATTGACACTTTAGTTGCACGTCATGTGGCAATTGGTATTGGCTATAAGTATGAGACTGTTTATAGGTATTTACTTCCGTTTTACTACTACAAAGCCGTCAACAATCCTCACCATCTGGCATGTGTGGTGGGTGATTGGAGATGGAATATTACAAGAACGGCGACTTTAGAAAGTGACCAGTGTAGTGCTTCCTCTTTCGCTTGATTTAGAATGATTCTTCTGATATCTATATGAGTTGCAAATTATGTATTTCAGCATCGAAAAAGAGGACCAAATATTACAAACACCCAAATCTATAAATCCATCTACAAATCCCCATGACTCTTCCATACATACTACCATAAAACCCAGCCCAATGCTCAAAGCCCATCAATATATCCAAAAAAATTCTAAATCAATTATAGCCCAACTATAGATCCAAACAACCTAAATATCTATATAGCACCTAACCTCAACCATATCCAAAATCTAAGCCCCCTCCCGCATCCCAACCAAAATACATCCAGCACCCATCATCGCTGCGCCCAACCACCAAAGGCCCCCAACAGCCTCCTGAAACACAATCATCCCGAACACCGCCGTCGCCAAGAAATTCGATGCCGTATTCGTGATGGAGACTTTGACCGTCGATGGGCCGGCTGTTAGCGCACGTGTGAAAAGTGCCCACATTATTATGTTGCAGAGGACGTTTAGGCCAAGGCAGGCCTAAAATAGATATGCGTTAGTATAATAGAAAACATAATTATTATATATAACACGTAGTTATACATGTATGTTTTAGCAGACGGGTAATGTTTCGACTCGGTTTGGAGAACATGGATAGTCCAGATGTAAGAACAGGGTGTAGACATACACCTCGAGTAAGCATCTCAATCACAGGCGATGACTCCAGACCGAAGAGGTGAGCGAGGGATTGCGCAAAGGCCGTTGTGTGGTCATCCGTGGTTCTGTGGAACGTTCTAAGGTTAACTTTGGCTCGAGTTACACGGATCGTATAGCCTATAGCTTATATCGGTAGCTTATATATATAGCATAGCATTTCTCCGATGTAAGTTATAGGGTGAATTGTTCACATACAATTTTGCGAAAACACCATTCAATGCGGCGAACGCGCCGCTCGTTATTGCGAGGATGATCCAGGGGGACGTGGAGGATTTGGGAGTTGATTGGGGCGTTGAGGTTGACATAGCTGCAGTTGAGATATAACTGTATATCTGGTGGTGTATCGGGCTCCTTTTTATAGGATTGCAGACTATATCCAAGTAGCGTAGGACTCAAGGGCTAGATGTTTTAAAGTGACGTTGAAGGAGTTCGAGTGCCAAGACTGATAGTGATAAGGATAAGGATAAGTAAGATATGTTGATATGGATGATCGACGCGAAACACCAGACATCCATAGATCGTAGCTCGAACAGCGATTGTTTAATAGAAAGGCTAAGTAAAATACCAGTAGATATGCAACGAATCTACATCTACCACTACGGCGACAACCTCTGAACCCGCCATTTAGCATCCTCCCCCTCCCCTTCAACACGCACATACCGGAACCGATCATGCAAACGACTCCGTCGTCCCTGCCAGAACTCTACAGACTCCGGCACGAGCCTAACACCACCCCAGAACGGTGGCAGCGGAATATCCTCAACACCCGCAAACCTCTCTTCCATCTCCTTAACCTTTGCCTCCAGCAACGCCCGGCCATCCTCAACATCCGTCTCATCAATATCCACCGGAACAAGCTCATCCCCATTGAACACCCCCTGTAACTTGGCCACACTCTTCCGTCTCTGATTCTCCTCCATCCTCACGGGCTCCGCAGACCACAAAACCCGACTCTGCCAACTCGCCCATCCCCCAATCCGACTCCCGCGCTCACGCGTCCGCCAATACATCTCGCTCTCTTCGCGACTCAGCGGCTCAAGCAAACCCTCAACACGGACCTGGCGCTCAACACTTGCCCAGCTAAATGTCAACGCGCCCCATTTATTTCCAGACCCGACTTCAGCAGTGACGGTAGCTGCCTCTGAGCCCGGTTCCGGTATGGCGTCGAGTATATCGGGGTTCTCGCCAAGTCCGAAAACTTGTCCGCCTTTGCCTTCTCGACTACCCCAGTTGCTGTACACGACCCAGCCGCGCTCGTCGAGTTCCTTGAGGTAGACCACGCGCGCGCTGACGCGGCCGGAGGGTAGTGAGGCGGTTGCGAGGGTGCATGTTTCTGGGGCGGAGGAGGCTGGGAGGCGAGGGTCCCGGAACCAGGTGTTGAATTGGTGGAGTGGGTTTGTGCCGTGGATTTGGGAGATGGTTAGAGGTGGGTTTGTGCCGAATTGGTGTGCACGTGCGGCGTTGGAGAGCACTTCGGTTTCTGTTGTGGAGTTTGGGGTTGAGGCTGAGGTGCGTAGGGCTTCTAGTACGGTTGCTGCTGGGAGTGCCGGGGGTTCTGGTTCCGGGGTGGGCTCATTGTAGGTTGGTGCAATGTCCCCTGGTGCGACTTTGGAGATTGGTGTGTTAGGCTGGAGGGTTGTATGGGTAGGGGAGAGCTTGGCCGGATATTTGTGTAGAGAGGATGGTTTGGCCTGTATACATACAGATTAGCTTCTTCGGACGCCGGTGGGCGTCTGTCTGATGTTCGTTTTGATCCATTGCTGGCTTAAGATTGCTGGGTTGGTTGGTTGAGGAATATCGAAGTTGGCGGGGTTGGCGGGGAACAGTGCAGAGGAATGAGTCAACGGCTGAACGGAAAGTGAAGGGTAAACGGGTCTGCATTAAAATTGTAGACAAAATAAGTGCAATACCCCAATTGCCAGGAATTTGAATTTAAAGAAGTAAACCCGAGTTCTAGGAAGATGTAAGTTCCGGATTAGGAATATCAAATGCCAAGGTGGATGTTTTGGTCTCAGCGGAAACTCCCGAGACGTCATGCCATTTTCTCGGAGAAACACCATGGAATACACAAAGTAATATATAAAGGATTACAGATTACAGAACAGATTTGACTCATTGACTTTTTTTCATTTTGATTTCTGCGTCTATGACGCAGTGGGAGAGTTGAGATGTGTCTATGGACAAAAAGAAATCACAATGGTATACAGTGCTTTAATGCACGCCCTTTTTTATCACCGAAATGAACGCCGAACCTTCGCTGGATGCCAATATATATAAATCAAAAACAAAAAGAATAGATATCCCACCAGGTATATCCAACTGCCGCCCTGCAGACGCCGAACCGGAAATCTCCCAAGACAGGGATCCAGCCCTGGCAGAGAGATTGTAGGGTGCAACACAAACATTAAATGGGTATCACCTGGTCACAAATATAGGCAAGAGAATTTAAAGAGAGGCGGAAGCTCCGCCGATGAGATCGACGATCTTGCCGGCCACCGCAGAAGGGTATCCGCGCGACATCATCTCCTGGACGATGGTGGCGGCACTGGCGCGATCCTCGGCGCTCAGGAACGCACGGGTCATCGCTTCGTAGGTGCTTGGCTCTCGCTTCTGAATGCCGATGCTGTCGTAGATGGACTTAGCCTTGGACACATTACCCTCGGCGGCCCAGCCGTGGATCAGAGTGTTGGCAATGTAGGCGGTCATCTCGACCTTGCGTGTGAACATGTTCTGAACGACTTCCTCGGTGTCGGTGACACGGTGGTTGGCGACCATAGACTCAAAGAGGGCTTGGTACAGGCATGGCTGGAGGCGCACACGACGGTCGGAGACGACGGCGTCGAAGACTTTGCGCGCGCCAGCAAGGTCGTGCAGGACGCAGCCCTTGGCGTGCACTAGCGAGGCGTAGTGCACGGCATCCGGCTGGTGGCCTGCAGCCTTCATGGATTCCAGCACGGCTTCGGCGGCGGCCATGTTCACTGGCTCCAGGGAGGCGTGTGCGTCAATGAGAAGCTTGTAGGTGTGAAGGGTGGGCTGGATGTTGCGGGCCTGCATGCGCTCGTAGTAGGCTAGGACTTTGCTGATGTCGCGCTTGGTGTTGAGGAAGTACTGGATCATGGAGTTGTAAGGTGCGGGGCGGGGCTTGTAGTTGGGCATAGACTCCATCTCTTCGAACATCTCCTCGGCGAAGCGCTCGTCGCTCACACGGCAGAGAGCATTCACAATGGTTCCGTAGGTGACACTCGTCGGGCGCACGTTGTTAGAACGCATCTCAGCGAAGTAGGCAAGACAGTCGTCAATGCGGCGGGCCTTGCCTAGCTTGCCGATCAGCGCGTTGTACAGGAAGGAAGTGGGCTCAACGCCTTCAGCGACGGCACGGTGGAAGACCTTGAGGGCCTCAGTAGCTTCGTCGAAGGTCTTGGTAGACTCCTTCAGGGTGGTGATGTACAAGCCGAAAGTGTTAGCCGAGGGTGCGGAACCGAGAGCGAGAAGGTCCTGGTGGTACTGAGCAGCCAGCTTGCGGTCGCCGAGGGTGAGGCAAGCAGCAACCATAGCATCAAGGATGGAGACCCACCCGTACTTGACAACGCTGAAGTTCATATCGAGGGGAACATCAGCCCGTGCCATGCTGTGAATGTCGTGAGCCAAGGTCATGCGACCAGCCTTAGCCGCGGCGGTGATCAGCTTAGCGTAGGTGATGTAGCGCGGGTGACGACCAGTGCGGCGCATGTTGTTCAGACGAGTCAGTGCTTCGTTGAGGTGAGTCTCGCTGCGTCCGCTAGTATTCTCAAGCTCCTCTGCGATGATGGCGGATCCGCGGAAGTCGGTCGCGTGAGCATAAGGATCAAACGATTCGGGGGTGGCAGAGGGAGTGGTGATCGAGGTCTCCGCCATAGAGACGGGGCTTTGACGATCAGACGAAAGGAACATCTGAGAAGGCGAAACAGAGGTCTGGGAGCCAGCCTCCAGATAATCTTGCCACTTCTTGACGACATCAGGGCGACTGACAAAGAGCTTGCCAACAGCCTGGTCGATGAGGCCAGTGGTATAGAGATCCAGAGGGAGGGCAGAAGACAGAGCAACATCGAGCATGTGCGCAAAGCGAACGGGATGAGCGACATCGAACAGCATGGAACCGCTGCTGACCAGCATGCCAGCCTGGACTTGGAGGGCCAGGGTGAGGTCGGCAGCCTTGAGCTGGGAGATACCGATGGGGCCAAGGTTGGCGACAGCGTGCTCAGCGAGAGGCGAAACTAGACCACCGTTCTCTAGCATCGACCACAACAGGGTCATAGATGATTGAGGAGAGAGAACCGCGGCCGACTGCATGAGGACACGACCGAAGAGATGAAGGGACTCGGTAATCTGTTCTCTGACGGGGTTGGCGACGGCAGCGTGTTGATCTTGGGTGGCGTTGCGGATACGCTTAAACATATTGCGGGCCTGGTGAAGACCTTCCTCAACATTTCCACTCTTGAGCAGAGCGACCGCATACATTGCGGTCGGCTGGACCAGATCCGGGGTTGCCTGACCCACCGTGGTCAGCATGATCCACAAGGAACGTGCAGCAGAAACATTGCCTCGGCGAACTTGAAGGGCCAGCAGTGAAATGGCAGGGTTCTGACGTACGTCAGGTGCGGTGGGCAGACTATCGTAAGCCTCAGAAGCGGTGGGGAGATCGCCCGCATCGGCTGCAGCAATACAGATGCGGGAAATGGCCTGATTCCGAGCTTCATCATGCAATTGATTCTTGGCCTGCTCCAATGCCTTGCTGTGGTTTCCCGTGTTGAGCGAGTGTTGCACAAGTGCATCCTCGACAATCACAGCTTCCACTGCAGACCATCGGTCCTGGCGACCTTCGGTGACCTCGTCAAACGAAGAACGAATCCGATCAAGGAACTGCGTGGCACCTTCCTCTTTGCCGCATGAAAGGTAAGCACGGATCAAAGCAGCATAGACCTGGCCGTCTTGGCGCTGAACGATACTGAAGACGCCGCTATCATCGGAGACTGCGAGTCCTCGATACTCGTTGTAGCATTCAACAGCACTCCGGAGATCGCCAGTGGAAGCAAATGCGGTGATCATAGACGGGAAGATGGTGGCATGCGGAGTCATCTTCTGCGATTCCATATGGGCGTAAATCCGAATCATATCCTCCACCTTACCTTCCTTGGCACAGGCAATGATAAGGTGACGGTACATCTCGAGCGGGAACACAAGTCGGTTGTGTCGTGCGATGGCGGTATCAAAGAGCTTGACAGCAATGGACAGGGAAGTATCCTCAGCGAGAAGGTCCCGCTCTAGTTCACTTGACTGAAGCATAAACTTGCCAGGCTCTTCCATACCACCGAATCGAACGCGTTCCTGCTCCAATGCCTCCTTGGCCTTGATGATGTCGTGGGACCGGGTGACCAGAAGCTGAACCAGAGTCTCATAGGTATCTTCATCGGGAATTACCCTTCGACGAAGCATGTCAGAGTAGACATCGAGGGCCTTGGGGATGGCCTGGGCGGCATCAGGGTGAAGACGGATGGCAGCGACCAACAGGGCATTATATGCCACGACAGTCGGAGTATATCCCTCTCGGAGCAGAGTTTCGAACGCAGCGGGGATTTCTGCGAATTTTTTGGAGTTGGCCAGTTGCACAATGCGATCCGAGGCAAGGTGGTTAGCTTCAGACACTTCCGAAACGACATCCTCAACCATCGGTTCAACATTCGCCTCTGCTCCCAGCGCAGCCTCCTCGGCCTGTGCCTGCTCCTCCTGAATCTGCATCTCACGAGCCACGGCCTCCTCCACTTGCGCACTAACATCCTCGTTCACGGCAGCCTTGGTAGGATGAGGCGGAGATAAATCGGACGCAGCCCGGTCTTCGTTAAAAGTGTCAGCCTCCTCCGTTGGCTTCCAGCCAATACGGCGCTTGAACTCGAACTGAGTCCAATCACTGTCATCTCCGGTCTGCTGCGCGTTCTGCCATGCGGCATAATAGGCCGCTAGACCGAGATCTCCATTTCCAGATCCTCCCTGACTTGTCTTGGCGCCAGCGCCGGACGAGCTGGACGCATTAGAGAAAGCATTCTGTAATTGGGTTGTGCGGGAGAATTTGGCGGGTTGGGCGAGGGGGTTGAAGGGGGTTGTCGACGCGTAGGATTGCGACGCGGCGACTACGGATTGAGCATAGCCGTGAGTAAAGGCTTTGGTGAAACTCTGGCGCGCGAGGTGGGTGAATGGCTTGAAAACCATTTATCTGATGGAGAACCTCTTTATTCTAAAGAGGTGATGCTGTGAGCCAAGTTAGTGTCGATAATTCATTCTCACGTGCGTTCGTTCCCATACCTTGCACTCAAGATAATATCGAAAGTGCAGGTTCATTTGACGACTGTTTGTCGCCAATGAACGCGCAAATGCAAGATTAAGAGAATAGTATTAAAAAAGGACCTGTTGACAGAGCCCGAAAAGTTGTGTAAAGGGAGAGAATGGTAGCCTGAAAAAAAAGAACGAGGGGGGCCAAGTCATAATATCCCGACGGACTTCTGGAAGGAGATGGAGTCTCACAGTGGAACAGTCTGTTAGGGCCGATCTTCTCCGGAGAATCCTCTTATTCTCTTGGTAACTCCGCTTGAACCTACTACGGAGTACTATGTACGTAGTTTTATTTTGTGACTGCTCCGCCTCATTCCTCCGATTTCTTATGTATCTCAAGTCTTTACGAGGCGTTTGTACTGGTACATAAAAACAATGTATCTGGCATATCAGATCCTCCCTATAGCGTGGGGGTTTCCCATCGGGTCATCTCGAGAATACATCAAGGGAAAGTATCTAGTACTGACGCACTGCCGTCCACGGGTCCGTCCCTCCGTCCATAGTAAGCTGAATACATAATGAGTGCTTTAAACGTCAAACAGGTCAGGTGGCTGAAAAAGTAAGACTAGACAGACACCAATCAGCATCAAGCCATTCCCTTGAAACCTTGGAAAAAAGGGGGGCGCCCTGGAAGTGAGTCACGTTTTCCTTCCGGTTCTTTTTCTTTGTTCTTCCTTTTCTCGGAACTTTCTCGTCTTCCCCGGCGATAACCCGGTCTTTCGGGACGCCGACTGCCCGACGCGGACTTAACGGCAGAATTAAAAAGTTTGTAAGCGGTCAAGCTGAGATCTGGCCTTTGATTTGATTTGTAACCTGCCAACTAACTAGGGGAGGCATTTTTCCCTGTCTTGAACAGGGGTTTTGCGCACCCTGCGCTTTCGCACATAGCATCTTGGGTTTATGATCATTGTCTTCGATACGACATAATTGACGTCAGACCAAGGTGGATTGGCTCCTTGTTTGGGTCTGAAAATGCCCAAAATCGGACTTCTTCGACTATTGAGATCTCACACAGATCTTACCCCCGTGGCTGAGCACCTATCGTAGCCACTATACATGAAACTCTGGTCCTTGTTGTGGCTTGGTAGTTGCCTGGTCCCTTCCGGGGTATTCCCCCGGGGTAACATTAGTCCTGGTAGCTTGATTTTGGGTGATTTTCAGGCTCAAACGACGAGCTAATCTACCTTGTTCGGAATGTTTCTGAGGGATCTTAATTACGAAAAAAGCGGGTCTGGAAAATCCGTGGCCATGGACAACATATCCCTAGATGTACATATTTGGTCAGGAGTACAACATCTGGAACCACATGGGCATGAATTGATCTATTCAGAATGTTATTTGTGCATAGATTACACCGATAATAGGGGAACTATCTATAAAAAAGACCTTGAAATTTCCGAGAAACATCTGAAAAGACTAGCAAACACACCTCTCTATTCTCGTAATATACACAGAAAGTGCAACGCGAACACACAAGGAGAGGATCCTACTTCTTTCCACTGCTCCTACTCCCACCCTCCTCATCCTCATTAACCCCAGGTTTCATCTTCACCCATCACAACTTTCAAATCTCTTGCTTTTTATCATCCCGAACCACAACCTACAAATATCTTGTCTCCACTCAAGCGGTAAACATATTGCATATGTATGCCACCTCCTCTTGATACTTGGCAGCTAAATACTAACCATGGAATTAGTCGAGATACCGGTGACCTTTGGCGAGCCTATCCGCTCCTAAGTTACTTATATCAAAAGAGAGAAACACTCCAGTATCACTCATCATCCCTTTACTATCCCGTTCGAAAGCCTCTTCTGCCGTCCATCGTCTATTCATAGGGAGAAAGACATTAAGTTCTCACAAGCACAACTCGAGCAAATCGCAGAGATGATTTTGGAGGCCCAGCAACATGGTAGAGAACAAAAAACAAATATTAATTCCAGAATTACACGATTGGCGAGCAGAGAAGACCTAGTGAAAGCATCCTGAAGCAATCCCTCCGTGCATTGCTAGAGTGGCTCTCACCATAGCGTTCTCGGGAGCGTGGCCCAAACGACGGTTAGGACTCGTCGGAGGCGCTTAGGTCATTGGACGGGTAATGAGGGCACCAGAGACCCCGTCGGAGGTGCTCAGTTGACCAGGACAGTTGCCAGCTGTGGCGTTGTCGGAGGGTAGGCGTATTTTGTCTACCAACAAGCTCGTTTGCCACACCTATCCAGGGACCAGGTTGTTGCGCTTTGTGATCAACTCACCCACATATAGAAGCTGGATACCACGGCCACCAGACTTGTCGTCCAGGAGGAAGCGGCTAAATCACGCCGCCAGTGTCGGACATTCCGATTGAGAATGATAGGAAGCAGGATGATATAGATTGGTCTGGGCTGTCATGAAAGGAGCTGGCGTATCTTCAATGAATTGCATTTTTACAATCTTCTTCTCTTTATTTGTATCCCAGCAATCCAACGCTAGTGGGTTTGGGCACAAGTGATAGTATGAAAGAGTTGCGGTCAATACTTGATTTTGTAGCAGATCCTAGTTTTGGATATGTAGAAGTGAGGTGAAAGTGAGATGAGACTGAAGCAAACCCACTGGAAAGTCAGGTAGGAGGTCAGATACATTGAAAAGTAAAGCACACCGTGGCTGAGGTTCGGCTGTTAGAGCCCATTGCTTGCCCCAATCCTCAAGATACGGTGGACGCCTTGGTCTAGCGGTTTGATAATTTGCAGTGTATTTCTTATTCCTCAAACCGCCGTCCAGGGTGTCTGCCTGCCTTCCGTGTCGTCTAGGCCTGGTGTGCCGTTCTGATCACCGGTCAATCCAGGCGATGACAATTTTTATTTCTTTCATATATGTCCCGACCCTCACTCTTCTACCAGAGGTGACCTCCACACCAATAGCTTTGCGCTTTCCAATACCTTTCTACAGAATTAGCCATACCCCAGTGTTCGCTTCGTCAATTAATCATATGCTGTATGCTTATTGTCAACATATACGTACCCAGTGAAAAACAATAAAATTGTAGAGCTATCTCACTATGACCTACGTAAAATACCTATATGATGTCAGCGGACACTTCTCTATTTAGGCTCAGTAAGCTAACCTAAGTAGGTAAGGGTCTATTAAACCCATTTTCTACCGACGTTAACGTATTCGGTAAGCGAGCTGGCCATGTAAGCGAGCTGGCCACCCAACCCAACTTACTAATTTCAAATGCATTTATCTCAACCAAAACGCCATTAAATTAAATTTAAAAAAATCATCATCTATCTGGGCATGTCTCTCTTCTATGTCCTGGCTTCCTACATATTCCATATGCTCGTCCGGCCTGGGGAGGCGGTTTTAAACCTTCCGAAACCTACTCACGATAGTTGTTGATACGCGCTACTTAGGCCTCAAATGGCTCCGAACGTAGCTTACGAACCTCCTAAACTGAGAGATCTCCTTCGTAGACTATCGTCCTTGTAGATTGAGTTCGCTTCTGCTTTTTCTTCTCGTTTTCAGCGCGTAAATCGCTTACTTCTTTCTCGAGTAATGCGGCGGATTGTATTGTGATCTGGTAGGCTTTTAAAACCTGGTTTATAGCGGAATTGAGCGGGCTCTGGGGGCTCCTTGATCTTGCACGAAGTAGTGCTTTTATTGAGGAGGCTTACTTTTGCAATTGTATATAGTTCGAAGGTGTTTTTGGATCCTAATCACTACCCCGGCTAGAAGGGGGGGTAAGGGTTCGAAGACGAATATCAAGCTTTGAAATCACTCTCTCTGGTATAAAAGGTATTAAACCAGCAGATTAGAAGCTATTTTTAATAGTCTCCGATTTAAAAGCCTCTATTCGTGTAAGGGGGTATACTTCGAGGAAATCAAGTTTATTAATATAATTTATCCTATTCCGTATTTTGAATTTAACTAGCCGGCCGTATATACGTTTTAATACCGTAAAATAGCCTATATCTAAAGGCTGTAAAAGGTAAGAGGAGTGCGGAGGTATATAGATTAGTATAATCTTATTTTCCTTATAGATTTTATCGAACTTTAGGGTTAAATAACTTCTGTAGCTGTCGAGTATTAAAAGCCGATACCCCCCCTTTATACGCGAAGAAGTAGTAGGAATAAAGAGCTTTTTAAGCTAGCGAAGTCTAATTTTATCAGAGGTCTATCTATTAGGACTAACCTCAAATCGCTAGTCTCCTAGGAGACTGTCGAACTAGGATTTAATAAAGACTTTATCTTTAAAAATCATACATAGAGGAAGTACCTAGCCAGAAGCATTTGTATACTCAATTACCGTCACCTATTCTCGATTTCTAGGTTATAAAAGTGCTCGCCGACTGTAGAAATCGCTTCTTAAAATCACTCTCGTAGTAGAAGTTAAGCCTATAGCAAAACCGGTCTTATCAAAGTTATAAACGTCGTCCGGGTTGATCCTAAATTATAGGATAGTTTTTTCAACAAGATTAAACCACTCCCCTATGATTTTCGGATCTTTATATTTCGCACGCTTATAGTTATACCGTTTCGAAAGCCGGGAGGATAAGAGAGGGTGCCGTTTCACAAAATTATATACCTATTTTTCGCCGACCGAAAGAACTAGGGTAGTTCCTCGCTTTTCGAGGAGAAGATTCGCTATTTCTCAGACGGTAGAGGGCCGGGGAGCTGATCCTCGAGAATCTATAGATAGAATCCATTTCTGAAGCGATTCCTCTTCAATATCTGTAAGCTTTTGTAAATTGGCGCGAGAAATCGCGCGATTTTGAACCCCATTAAGGCGCGTTGAAAGGGTTGATCTCGGCACGTTAAATCGGCGTGCTACCTCACGAATAGAGCTGATTTCTTTTTTCTGAATAGCCTGGATAGCTAATAAGATCCTGCCTTCTTGCTCTATTGAATTTTGAGAAGATCGAGAGCGAATTGGTGGCATGGTGGGTGGTTGAATTAACTAAGTACTAATTCATGGACGCGTTTTGGGTTGGGTGGCCAGCTCGCTTACCGAATACGTTATTTCATATTTGGCTACCTTAGGCGTAAACATATCGCCAAGCATATTAAAAGTACTATAACCGTATTCAAGTCTTATTCCAACTATAGGATCTTCCATAATTAGACATCCTCCAGATGCTTAAACAAAGATATGTTGAATATCACGAAGAAATGGATTTGTCTCATTGTACCCAATACTGCTATAAATCTTCAAGCAAAATCAGACTAAATATATTCCAGCACTCTGAGTTCCCTGATGAAGACATCCAAAGGCACATCCGACATAACGGCAGCGCCGTGTTTCTGTTGTCGAGTTGAATTGCCCAACTGAGAACTCATGGATGTTGAAAATTCCATCAATCTAGACCGCCTCGAGGTTCAACTTCAGCGAGTCTTCAAGAGAAGTCCAGCCTGGTCTTCCCAAAGCCTGAAGCAAAGCCAGGCCACGTCCGTTTGATATTTCGGAGATATCCTTCTGGCTTGGGTCCGTGAAATCATCTACCCATTGGTGGTTCGGTCGGAGTTCACGAAGATGCTTCAACACTTCACTGTCTAGGGGTTAGCTCTGGTTATGTTGCTGAGAAAGAGTGGTCAAACGTACTTCCAAGTGAAATGCTCGCCATATGCGATGATACGTTCATTTTTGACATCGGGGTTTGTCAAAGCAGCCACGTGCAGACGTGCGGAATCTTGCACGTCGACAAACCATTCTGTGAGCATAGTTAGCAAAGCGTCTCTCGTCAAGCCAACAGAATAAGGCATAAGTTTGAGAACATGAAAGGAAAATCGTCCATGCTAACTCTTCTCCACGGCTATGGAAAAAACTCACGATATTCGACTGTTTTGGCCCATTCAGAGTTTCCATTGAAGATCTGCTTCACAAGGTCTCCGGAACTGGATGGAATGGAAGGATCCAGAATTTTGCCAAAATTCACACCTAGGACAACAGAGCTAACGACGAAAGGCGCCTTGTTCTCAGTCGCGTACTTGAAAACAGCTTGCTCGGCCTGTGTTTTGCTCGCCGCATAGACCGACAAAGCACGATCCATTGTGTAAGGGGGAGGAGCCCACGCATTCTCAACAGCCTCCTCGTTGTAGGAAGTCTCATCTAGTTTTTGGGCAACATTGAACACCGCAGGCCCAAGAGCAGTTGTCGACGCGGTGTAGACGAAACTCTTAACTGACGGTGATTGCATCGCCGAATCAAGGATGGAGTGCGCAGAGGAGACAACCTCTGTTACAACAATGTTGGGATCGGGGTTGAAGCTCACATTGCTCGCAACATGAGCGATGCCAGAGACACCTATGAGTTGACGTTAGCGACTGTAGTAGAAAGCAGAGGACCATTATATTAAATAACCTTTGACTGCCTCATCAAAAGCCCCAGGCTCGGAGATGTTTTGGACAACCACCAACTCTACTTGCCCTGCGCCAAACTTGCTCTCCCAATGCTTGAGCAAACCCGCAGCCTTTTCGACATTTCTCACAGTTCCACGAACTTTGAAGCCCGCTTGGAGCAATTGGTCAGCAACGTGAGAGCCAATGTAGCCAGTAATGCCGGTAACCAGCACGGTCGAGCCCGAAGGTAGAGTAGAAGCCATTGTAAATATCTGGATAGAATTGTGCGAGAGTGCTTGCAATGTGTTCAAAGAGAGTTAAAGGAATTGAACTGAATGTGGGGTATGCAACCGGGTGACATCTGCTTTAACAGCCACGAGAAAACGCCCTGACAAACTTTAATAAATTAGGTATGAGCTTGCTGCTTTGTAATATCATTATTACAACTCACTATCAGTGGTTCGATGACAATCTATATGTGATTGGAAATACAAGATTGGAAGTGATTGGAAATACTTGATTAGCAATGCTTGGTTTAAAACACTTGGCTTGAAAGTTTATTGTCTCATAAATAGATGGAGATAGCGAAGCCGAAAGAGAGTCTGAGTACATAATGTCCTATCAGTCGGTGTGCCAGACATTGCTTTAGCCTGCAGAGAAAGGAATAAGGTATCCGAACGTGGCAATGGAAGGCGGAAGTAACTCTTCTTGGACTGTGACCCGCTCTACTGTGCTTACCAAGTCCGAGACTACTATTCCTACACCTGGTCCGAGCCAGGTGCTTGTTCGTGTCAATGCCGTCTCACTTAACCATCGTGACCATACCGTTCTGCATCATACCTACCCTCTGCCAACGAAAGCGAATCTTGTCCCATGCAGTGATGGCGCAGGTACCGTGGTTGGTGCAGGACCAGGCTCATCCTGGGCTACCCGCAGTGGAGAGGTAGTTATCTTGCATCCAAACACTTGGCTGGAAGGAGACCTGCGCAATTTTGATGTGGAGAGCGTGCTAGGGGGAGGTGATGCACATGGTACTTTGACGGAGCATATCGTGCTAGATGATGTGCAAATTCAGGAAGCGCCGACAAATTTGACTGTGGAGGAAGCTTCTACGTTGCCAACGGCTGCCTTGACTGCTTGGAATGCGCTGTTCATGGGGCCTATCCCATGCGGACCTGGCATTTCAATTTTGACGCAAGGGACTGGCGGTGTAAGCAGTTTTGCAATACAGGTATGGATGGAATTACCTCTCGTGCTTTTGATACCCTTGTTTTACGTTGTGCTCCATATTATTATGAAGGGCCGACCTCTGACCATGTGTTGTTCCGAAATAGCTAGCTGCCGCTGCGGGAGCCACCGTGATCGCAACGTCCTCCTCTGATGAGAAGCTTGAAGTTACTAAGCTGCTAGGTGCCACTCACTTGATAAATTATCGCAAAATACCGAATTGGTCGGAAGAGGTCCTTCGTATTACAAGTGGTCGCGGGGTTGATCATGTAGTTAATGTCGCTGGCTCAGGCACAATGGAGGAATCACTTCGCAGCGTGCGGCAGGGCGGGGTTGTGTCAGTCCTAGGTATGCTTTCAGGATCGAAGAAAACAGATCTGGTGCCGATGCTTATGATGGGAGGGAAAACCCGTGAGTGGAGCTGGCTGCTTGCAAAGCTGACTTAACTAACGCATGGATAGTCCGCGGCGTTCTTGGAGCAGGAAATAAAGAGATGCATGAGCAGCTGGTGAAGTTCATTGGACATCATGATATACATCCTACTATTGCGCGTGTTTTTGAATTTGACCAGGCTGTTGATGCGTTCGCATATATGGAAAAGCACAGCGAGGTCGGAAAGATCATCATCAGAGCCGATAGACTTATCACTAGGGAAAATGTATGAAATTATATAATTGGGGTGGATGTCCAGGTGGGCCAGTCTCTTAATAAACTGCCAAACAATAAATAGACCAAAGCGTTGAAAGCCTGGAACAGTTCGGATAGAACTGGCCCCCACCCTTCCGACAGGTATGAATGTCTTCTTGAAGCTTTCACCAATCAAATATTCCACCTGAATCCATCGGTAAAAAAGTGATTATTTAAAACCAGGGCAATGATGCAACCTATTGTTATTTTTCACGCGACTGCAGTGCTTGCCATCTCCGCGGGTCTGGGTTTTACTAGGTCGTGCGGAAGACTACCTATAGGTATCCTATTAAAGTCCTATAGGACCGGACTAGTACCTCACTCCTATCTCCAAGCACTCCTATAGGACCATATAGGAGTCCTATCTAGTCCTATGGGAGTGGTCCTATTGGATCAAATGGTGGGAGTTGGCAAGGTCTAGGAATCAGTCATAGTAGGGCCTGCTGATGAGCATAGGCGACATAGAAGGCTACACATCATATGAACTGGCTCTTCGTGCTACTTCTATTTTAGTCCAATCGTTCCAGGCCCAGACCGGTCCTGAGATGGTCTAGAGGTGACTATATGGGTTGCGGCGATTAAGTGAGGACTAATTTCATTGGATGATCAGCTTGCTATAGCAGCGGGTCTGCAGTGGCTTTCATTAGAAGTCATTATGGCAGCGCTCTGGGAACGTTAGACAGTACCCTATTAGGTATAATTCACCCTGAATTGCGAAAATATCTTCGGCAATCTCGTCAATAAAAAAAAATTACAGAACCTGGAACAGCTCCAGTGATGCAACCATATTTTGAATGACACGTGGTAGCTTAGTTATTCGACATATGCATGTCGAGAACACGTCGCACACTACCCTGCACCTGCATGCATGAACCGCATCACCATTCCTTCCCCTCATCTTAAGACTTAGTTTGTTGGCTTTGAAACCGAACTACGCAAATACAAAAGCCCTGTCTTCTCCGACAAAAATTGGAGGCCGATCAGTTTTTCGGACCTTCTAGACACCCTCAAGCCAGTGTACCAAAGCCCTATTTTGTTATGTCTCCGATCGATGAATCATCCTTGGACTCAGGCAAGCATGATCTCTTGCCTTTGGTCAATAGTGGAAGCCTAGAAGGCTTTATCAAATATATGGGTATACTGGCGTCAAGCTCTGAATCTCAATTCGCATCTGCCGTGCTTGGCGAGATCACCCAACAGCGTGAGCAGAATCACCTTCAAGATGAAGAGCTGAAAAAACTTCGAAAGGATATTCTTGATATCAAGGAAACAAAAAGAACTACGATCGAAGATATGTTTGCTGCCAATGAGAACGAAAAGGCAAAGCAGAGAGACTCCTTGGCGCAAATCGAAACTCTTCGCGCTACCGTCGACGAAAAGGAAAGTAAGGTTACCGAGTCTGCTAAGAATCTCGGAACTTTGCAGCAGAAAATAGCAAAGTTGGAATCGAATCTCTCGCAGGAGGTCGCTAAAGTCTTACAATCCGCCAAAGATATTACTACACTGCAAACCAATTTGAAAGAGAAAGATAAGATGGTAGACCAAATGAAGACAGCTGGGTCAAAACTAAAATCAATTTTATCATCGGAGCAGAAGAAGAACGAAGAGCTAGCAGCTGCTAATGCCTCAATGAACACAGAGCTCCAGGCAGTGAAGGCTTATATCCAGAGGCTGGAAGAGTTTCCTGTCCAATCTTCGGGCATTGATGAAAATTCCGTGTAAGTCAGGCGAGAAAAGGTACAACTATCAGTGTATTAACTGTTCCTGTGTCATTGACAGAGTCACGAAATTCACAAGCCTTTGGACCTCTGCTACAAGCGAGTTATCTCCATTACTATACCAAGATGTTCTAGAAGAAACTTTAAAGGTTCGTCCTCGGGCACCTTTCCTCACGTTCATCACTAATAGGACCAAAAGGAGAAGGCTATCTGGGAGAGACTTAAAAAGGCAGACAAGATACTCCTACCGCCAAGCTTTCCTCTTATTGCTTCAAACTCCTCGGGTGCTAAAGCTGTACGATTTGCATTGATTCTAGCTGTTCTGTTCAGAGAGATCGACCGACGTATATTCAAACCGAGTTATTTTCTTTCGGAGAGCAATAGTCTTCGTGAGGCTCTCGGTCATCTTGCAGTGAAAAATAGCGAGAAAGAAACTTTTTGCCGTCGCATACTTCTCTCCATCGACCCGCATGCGGAACAGGTAACTCTTAAAGCTGAGATTCAAGCTGTGGTCCAGAGAATGTCTTCGTATGCAGATGGCCTATTTCCTGAAGTGCAGCACGATTTGTTTTGTACAAAAATACAATCAATAGTCCAGAACGCGGTCGAATTTTGGCTTCCAACTCAGCGATCGCAACAGAAATTCGAGACAGATTTCGAAGAACTCTTTGATCCCGACGACAAGGACAGGGATCTCTTTCCTTTCGCTGGTGAAAATACAACACTGGTAGCACAAGACCATGGCCCTTATCTTCTCAATGTCTTCCCGTCCATCTCCTTGGTGGAAGACGGCTACCATAATCCATTGACCAAGATCATTCAACTCCGCAGTTCCCAGGAATTATACTTGGCCGCGCAGCATGAAGCCACTCAAATAACATCATCTGTCACCACCAGACGATCTCATACCCGCCCTAGAAGAAAATCAACTGCAGCCTCAAATGGGAAACCTTTTTTAGGTGGAAATCTAACCAATGGCAAACCGATGGGTTCTGGAGAAGGGGTTGGAAACGCTAGCAGCCCTGGAGACTGAAAGGGAGTGTAATGGATATTAGAATGGCATTTTATAATTATCAGCAGTGATGCTCTATATGAACATTTTTGGGTCATACTCTTCCCACTGTTTTCATTCCCCTGTGTGAAATGATGTCTTAGGTCGCCTCCAGCTGTATCTTTGCGAAATGTCGCAATTATCTTCGCAGATCTTATGTTAAGAAATAAATTAGCATTAGAGCACTAGCGGGCCAAGACACTGATGAAAAGGCGGTATATGTGCTGGCAGGTGGGACAGCGACAGTAACTCTATATCGCCTGTGATAAACCCCTTACCGATCTAACAGCTACTGGTTTTTCCCTCTGGTTTAAAGTTACTGTGCTAATTTTGATCAGAGATTTCCGCTGGATTAAATCTGCTTTAGCCTAGCAACATTGATCTTGAACAGGTGGTTCTTGGTTTGGGCTTCTATGGCCACTCATTTACCCTGGAGGATGCATCCTGCAATACACCTGGTTGTCGCTTCTCGGGTGGTGGTAAAGCAGGAGAATGCACAGGCACCACTGAAATTCTCTCGGATAATGAGATCAATCGTGTGCTCAAGGAATACGATCTCCCCATTCAATATGACGAGGCCGCGGGTGTGAATTGGATGATATGGAACACAAATCAATGGTAAGTCATCGGTCACATCTACTGCTTCCACAATACTCAATTTTTCATTTCAGGGTGTCCTTCAACAATGCGTGGATATTGAAACAGAAAGCCGATTTTGCCAATTCAAATGTCTAGGTCTGTTTTCTTGTGCATTAGACCTTGGTGGCCCCGGTTCGACCACAAACCCCAACGATCTCTCTATAGCCCTATGGTAATCGACATTCGTCCATTCCATATGCCAGTCAAAAAGGCCTGAGCTACGACAGTTACACGCACCACCTCAGGGGTCACAACAGTTACAACTACGGTCACGCGGACCGTGAAGACCACGACCCTCCGACCTTCCGCTATCACAACAAATAGGTCGGTGTGAAACTGGAACATGTCCACGTCGACAAAAGGAACTGCACTTTCATACACTTTGTATCCTAGTATTCTACTGTCTCCTATTGTCACCACTGACAGCCTGAACCCCGGTTCGAGTTATGGAGCGGGTCATGTCCCCGTGACAAGAACCTTCACCATTCCTCCATGGCCGTGGTCTAGTGATGTCTCAAGCTTTCCCTTCACTGTACCCATGGTCACCTGGAATGTGGGCCCTCCTTCTCCTACATGCACATCTGGCTGTGGTAGTATGTGCAACTCATTCTGCAGTGGCCCATGCTCACTAGATTGTGATGGTGGAAACACTGACGACTGGGCTGATCCCGCATATTTTGATCTTCCTTCCCATGCAAGCTGCGCAGGACCAGATTGTGTCGATGGACAATGCACAGGAAATCTACGCATCCTGGTAGGCTGCGAAGGATCCGACTGTGACAATGATATCTGCGTGGGCTCCAGTTGTCATGAAACTGGCTGTTCAGGTATCCTAAATTGTGTAAAAGAACTAAAGTTTGACCGCCATTCGGACTTAGAAATATCCCGAAACGGGCAGAATCATGAGCTAACCTGAGCCCAGAAATCAAGTTCCCGCCTTAATCGGTTTCGCTCGTCCACGTTCACGTCCTGGAACCGTGTCAGTGACATGAATACATAATGTCAATGTCAGCTGCGTCGAACAAGGTCATCATCCTGATTGCGCAGCAATTGCAATCGCAGGCAGATCTTGCTACGCTAGTTCAGGTCAACTCCCGCCTCAATCACCTCATAAAGCATATCTTGTATCGATACAACCTACAACACCGGCACAGGCATGGTATTCTCCGGGCAGCCAGACTGGGATTAACCACTGCGGTAGTCCAATTTATCAAAGAGGGATACCCTGTGGAAGACCGACCAATCCATACCGAGGAACACCCACCACGACCTGGATTTCTACCATGGGACCCGTGCTCATGCCGACTAGAGCACCCTATTCTTTGTGCTGCAGAATATGGACATTCGGAGCTTGTGAAATATCTTCTACGCGTAGGTTCCGGGCCAGACTTTGAGAACAACCTAGGCGAAACGCCTATGCATCTAGCAGCGAAAAATGGGTTCCTCTCTGTTATCAAGGTTCTGCTCGAAAAAGGCTGCTCTATACCATTCCTTATAGATAACGACACCAAATTCACGTTGGCTCCTATCAAAGAGGCTGCTTTAAAGGGACATACGCATGTGGTTGAACATTTATTGTCCTATGCTCCAAGCCCCCGTGACTATGCTTCTTCGACCCTTCCATTTGCCGCTATCTCGGGTAATATAGCATTGGTCTCTATGCTCCTTGGTCATGGGGCAGATATTGACTACAAGTACATTGAACTCTATGCTCCTAGGATAGCTCTATGCCCACATGACGAACGATGGCACGGATCGATTGCTTTGTCAGTGGCAGCCAGACTCGGATATCTAGATCTAGTGACCTTTTTGCTTGCTAATGACTCTGATGTTAAAGCCACAACGCCTAGTCTCCGGGAGACTGCCTTGTACCTAGCAATTGCGAACGGCCATGAAGAGGTTATTGAGATGCTTTTGGCTCACGGTGCTGATGTGGAAGGTGGACATATCAGTACTGCTATTGAGCAACGCAACAAGAAATCGTTAGAGATGCTCATAATCAAGTACGGAACTGAAAACCGCCAGACCAATTTCCTGGAGCTCGCAGCAGAGGCTGGTGACACGGAAATATTCCAGATCTTATTTGATAAAGGCTTCAAAGACCAAGAAAAGGCTTTCCTGAAAGCAATTGAATACGGTCAAGAGGAAATCGTCGTCCTTCTCCTGTCACGAGGAACAGATCCTGATTTACCAACCATCGGTGAGTGTGCAATCGGCAAAGCAATCGTCCATCGTGATGTCGACATCATTGAATTACTATTGTGCCATGGGGCTCACATTTATCCTGAAACCTTACGAAGCGCAAAAACCTTTGCCCCTGGGCACATAGCAAAGTTGGCAGAACAGTTTCCTGTGCATCCCCTCGAAAAGAAGGCCATGTATCCGTCTATCTATCAGCCCTCAAAGCAGGGGGGGCGATGGGATAATGATTTGGGCTCTGCCCAGAGGAGACTTTGGTGAAAGCAACCGGATACCCTGTGATGACAAGAGATTCTCGACAGACAGAACCCCCTCGTTCCGTGAGGGCGAAAGAAAAATATATAAAATAAAATAAAATAGAAATCCAACTACACGATGTAACAAACTATCCACATTTAATTCTACAATTACCTCCCTTGGTAGCTTGAAATACTACACCTCGAACGTAGGGATGAAGTACAGCGAGCCCACTTGGATCAGCCACCGAGTGGGGCTGTGGATTGCAATGGTTGGCTCTCGGAGATTCCGAGCTCCCTCTTGTCTTGGCATGGATGAACTCCTCCGGGGGAGGACTCCACCATATACGGAGTAAAGCCTCCCATTTCCCTGAATCAATTTGCTAATACCTTGGTCTCTCTTCTCCCTTTGCTGATAATCAAGCAAGTTGATATCCTCATCAATCCTCGTCAAATTTGAGATGGAGGAGGGACTCATACTGAAGCGGGCGACCTGTTGCCAGACGTTGACTAGGATTGAGAACCTGATCAAGCAAACCCCAAGCCAGCATATCGAGTCCTCTGATCTGAAAGCGGCAGGTATCCGCCACCTCCCCTTGTCCCTTGGAGAAGATGCCCAACATCATCCACGCTTCTTCAAGCCATACCAAGAAGAACTGCCTCTCCCGCCAAAGGGGAGTGAGGACAGGCTCCTGAAATTTAAGCCTAACCCAAATCATATCATGTGGGAGACTCGCGCAATGCAGCTCCTTTTCACTGACCACTTTTATGATTGCTGGGACTATGCATTGGAGAAACACCCCAATAACCCTCCGCCCTCTGGCTCATATCGAGAGTACGTTACCTCTCACAGCTACCTTGTCTTGCCTGCTGACCGTTATTCATGATAGAATTGGAGATTACAGATTTGGCCAACTGCTAGAGTGTATAGATTTCAACTGGTATGCCGTGTCAGTAGCCGATTATCCCGCGGGAAACTACCCACACTTCAAGGTCATCGTGGAAAGTGATGTGAACGGGGATGATCGACTGCTTCGCGGAGAAATCATGACCATCACCAATATCATGGCTGCTCGTCTACGGACCAAGTCGCTGCGCCCTCATATTGTTGCCCCGGTAAGACCTCCCATGGTGAATTGTAAATGATGTACTAATCTTGTTCCGCTAGTTGCTGGTCCTGTCTCTCATGGGTCCTCGTCATGCTCGCGTCCTGGAGGCTGATCTTGATGGAGAGATCCTTAATATACGCGCTTCTAGGTTGTACGATTTTACACAAAGGAACACCGATGTCGCGCAATTGTTGACGCGGTATTGGCTCGGTGACGCGTGCGGTCAGACTACGATGGAAAGGTCTTAGTTCGGTGGAGAAGTTTGTTTAAGATGGACACTGCGGTATGGTTCTGTCTGGTAATAGAAATGTAGCTCTTAGGATGTATGATAATGAAATTGGTGGACGAGCGTCGTTCCGGCAACGACGGCTAAAACTTGAATTATTGGAGGTTTGCATGCGGGACACAAAACAAATTCAATGAATTGATAGCTGACGAGCAGAATGCGCTGTATTTCATATTCTAGTAGCTCCAAGGCTCCTATCTCAGTATGGGGATGGTCCTGCTCCCGCCGCGATTCATTATTTTGTTCGCGGCAATGCAGGGATATTGCGATCCGCGGCTCTGGTTGGTCAGCATTCGATCTCTTTCGCAGCTGGCATTGAGCCTCGCCTATATATAGATTGCTATTAGCCTACCACTGGTGCATGTCCAATTGGTCATACTACTAGATAGCTATTGCTAAGAACGTATCGATCATGATAGTGCATGGGATAGAGCATGTTACGAATCTGATCATATCATTGGACTCAAGAGACCCCCATGTTGTACGGGCTTTCTCGGCTCACCGTGATACCTGATATCCAATCACCAGGTCATGTCTGGAAGAATGTAGCCCACCGAGTCCTCTGCGGTTCTGGAAGAACACGCATGCACCAAGCTGATAGCCCACCCTCAAACGTAAAATCCGCGGTCTCCCATTTCTCTGCAAGCCTATCCTTCCATTCTTCTATCCTGATGATTTCTTTTGCCCCATCAGAAGAAATCAAGGGCACCATGCCTTTGGGCACGCGTTCAGAAGGCCGAAGAAGCGGGCCAGTATAGAAGAATTTGTGCTCAGGATCGCAGATACCAGGGATCTTGGATAGATCACCCGACTCACACTGGCGGTAACATCGCCAACAAAGTGTCGACAACGCGCAAGAGCGGCAGAAATACCAGTGGTGGACGGACCCAATTTCCCGCTTACAGCTCGAACACTCGGTACAGAGGTCGCATACGATGCCAGTATACAAGGCATCGTCTATATGATCGTCGGTGCCACCATCCAAACATTGATCCTCGTCAGCTGTCAATTGTACATTTTGGAGTGTGCTGGAAACTTCAAGCTGCGCATCATCGTCTGATAATTCGGTAGCAACTGTCCTGTTGTAAGCCACTCTCCTTCGTGGCTCTGTGTGTTGCTTGATCAAGTATAACGCTGCCCCAAGGTCTTCATCGCTATGAGTAACGGCAAGGGATACCCTGAAAAGTCTCACAAAGGCATTGATGTCATTTGAAGGATCATCGTCTGATAGCAACGAGAAACACTCTTTGACACACCAGCGGAGAACATCTCTGGCATTTGTGATATCCCTACGTGCCCGGAGCCAGCTCGAGAGGACCAGACATATGTCGCCGAGTTCGCTATTTTCGTTCAGAATCAATGCAGGCCGTTCCCAGAAAGGAATATCGGCATCTTCCAGGCACAAGGCAGTTATTTTGGCTATTGACCGCTTTCTACAGGCCTTGTTCCGCACACTGGGGGAGACTGAAGAGAGAGAGGCAGTCTCATACCAACCCTGTACCCCTACATCTCTTCGCCCCTTTTCAAATAATGCTGTTGCGAGGAGAAATCTGAGTTCTTCGGGCCTATAAGGTTGAGTGTCGATTTTTTTCAAGGCTCCGGTGGTAAGATCAAGATAATCCTGATCTTGGGGGGTTAGGGCATAGTGAATGACCCTATATATTATGCGAGGATTCATCACGGAACACCCGAGGATGAAGCGCTCAAAATCCGGAAATAAACCTCTGCTGTCGGCTGTCTCCTCAAAATGAGTGAAAGCAAGGTCAAGCACGGACCGCAGACGGTGCGTTTGGTTCAGTTCCAGGAAGATCGAGAGGAAGGGGAAAAAGTCGTCATCGTGCTTGCCTCTCCTTTCCAGCAACAGATTCCAGGCTTCCTCTGCGGTTGCGATTGCATCATCTGTCAATTTTGCATGGTGTTTCATTTGCGCTTTATTTAGCAAGCCATCGATAAGATCATCGCGGGAATCATCCTCCTCGAAGGTGCTCCGCAGGGACTCTGATAATTCAAGGTGCTCTAATGCCTCTTTGTGCATCACGAGCTGGGTATATGCACGAGCCATGTCTCTGTGGATGACAAACAGGGACTGTGTGCTGAATGTAGGAGTTGCGTGATTTTTGTCAAGCGAAACTTGAAAATGCTCAAGCGCTTGCACAAAGCAATTTTTCAGGAGCAGCGCCTGAGCAACTCGCGCATGCCACATGGCTGTCTGCTGAAGCTTTTGTGATTGGGCAGGAATCAAGACCTTGGTAGGATCTCTGTCATTCCACATTACGTCTGATACCTTTGATGTTAGACTGCCCGCATCAGACTCCTTTATTCCTTTTTCCATCGTATTGTATACTGTCAAAATGGCGGGGGCGACAGCAGGCAATCCATCATCATGCTTGATTTCTTCTGGCTCTAGCCAGCGTTGGATCCAGCGCGCTACCATGAGTGAGAAGAGAACCGTGAAAGGACATGCATCACTTGTCATCGCTGACGCTCGGGCTTGATCCACAAAGCTCTGTTTTGAATCTGGAAGAAGCCAATGGAGTACAGCCTCAGCCCTCTTGTTTGCAGTATCCTGATCGTGAGCGTCAAGCCAGTAGGAACCGAGCTCTGATACATCGCACGATGGGTAGGTCGAATACGAGGCAGACCCCTGGACATCCACTTCTCGAAGAGACCACTCCCTATCTTGCTCGTTTCTGAACAGACTCGCAAGCAAAGTGGAGATATCTTCTCGTAGATTTCCCGCCTTTTCGGGATTTGCACGGGTGAGGTGTGATGGTATGAACTTCTCAGCATATTCCCACAGGTATCCTATCCATATATTAGAATATGGCGTCTGGTTCTCTTTGAGGGAATAGAGAAAAACATATAGGAAGTTCACTTCCGCTTGATCGACATTGACGTGGATTGGTGCGGACTCCGCAGACGTCCTAAAAAATTCATAAAAGGAGCTATGCCGAAGAGTTACAACGTCACCTTCTTCATCAAAATTGTCTTCGTCGTTGGCTCTGATGTAAAATAGAGAGGAGTAAAGCGTGCGGATATCATCTTCAAGGCCCATGAACTCCTCCTTCAGGATAAGCTCAAGAATGATTTCAAGCTGACGCACGGTCAGTGGTTTTTGAGCCAACGCGACAAATGAGAGCAAGATGTTCAACTGCTGAATCTGTGAAGCAGGCTCGTCCCGCTCTGATGCCTCATCGCCAGACAATTCTTCCCACTCAGACAGTTCTTTGCTCAGACGCTGCAGTTCTTCACGAAGCATGGCGCTGATCCCTCGCGGCATTGTCCTGATCACCTTCCGGATCTGCTCTTTGGTTCGACAGCGCAAAACAGCCCTGATGACAAGGGTGGCCCATTCCCACATGCCCTCGGCTTCCTGGCTGATCTCCTCGATAGTTTCTTCGAGTAAATGAGGGTACCCACGAAACAGCTTGGTCTTCTGTAGTTTCTGAGAGACGTATTCGTGGAGATCTTCCTTGTTCTCGTTATTGCCGACTTCAATCTCCGGAATCCAGCTCAACGAATGCTCGTCGAGCATGGAGCGCACGGAATCCCTGCTAAGGAGCACGATTCGTAAAGGGGAGGTTCGGCTGATATCGTCTTCCGCTAAGAAGCTACTCTCCAGCAGACTGAAAAGAACATCTTGTTCTTCCGTTTCAGCCTCATCAATGCCGTCAATCACCAAACATGCTGTAGTTACTGGTGGATCGTCGGTAAAGTAGTTTAAGAAGAGTTTCTCCCAAAGGACGTAGTTGTTTTCCGGGTCTTCTTTCATGCAGAAATCCTCGGCATGCACCGCAAAGCTAGATTGTTGCGTGGCCAGCTGCCATGCTATGGTTCGCAGAGCTTTATTGAGGGAGCGTAAGTCGACATCGTTGTTCCTGTGAAAGAAAGAGGCAACCACAGGCGCAGGGGTCGCGGATGACTCGTTTGAAAATTCGGTGATGATTTTGGATGCCAGGTGGGATTTACCTACTCCAGGGCCACCGTGAATCCAGAGGAGCGGTTGCGATCCTTGCCACCAGGACCGGAGCCTATCTTCAACCCAGCTGCCGGATCCCGGTATGCGATTCTGAGTGATGGAAGAGAAGACCTGGCCCGATGCAGAAACTGGGTCTAATGCTGCTTTGATCCTTTCCAGCCTCTCGCGGTTTTTTCTATCATCGTCTCTATTGAGCAGTTCCTCAGTATTTCGCAGAGCTTGATGGGTGAGATTGAGCCCATGAGCAGAAACCATCATATGTTCCTGGTTTGTCAACTCCTCTAGATTATCTAGCAAAGAGCTAATTGACGTATCCTCAACAAGTATATTCTTCGCCCACTTGGAAAATCTTGCCTTGAGTGAACCGTGGCTCAAGAGCTTTTGTGACGCCGCGCAAACTCTCAGGAAATTAACCAACACTTTCACAATGATTATTTTCATCCCCTCACTGGGGGTGACTCCCTTGTATGAGTCCAGACGCAGAGCAATGTTGCCCAGCTTCTGAAATAGGTCGACGATCACGTTGAATGCGTCACTAACTCTGCGTGCCGCCCGGATCATAAGGAGCATCGCACCCATGATCGATGATGCTGGAGGGAAAGCTGCAGCGGCAGCACCAGCGATCAGGTCACCCCAGCTTTCAAAGGGCGCCAGAACCATCTGCATTGCATGTAAAAGGGGCCGTTTTTTCATTCGAAAATCTTCAAAGTTGTCCCTTTCGGATTCTAGCTGGCGAGACAGGTCCTCAGGCCCCTGAACTTTGGGGAAACGCTCATCTGTTAACGAAATTCCGGTTTCTCTGCCATAATCCTGGCAGGCGCTATGCCAGAGGGACGGCAGACTGCTATCGGAAGGTTCCCTCGCAGTCACGACCATGGTGGTGAGCGGGCGATGAATTTCTGATCTGGAGATAGGAAAAGAGGGAATTATATATATATATATATATATATACGTATATACATATGTAATAAATATAGAAAATTAGATCTCGTGAATTCAGTATTCTAAGCCCCCTCAGTTGTGGGTGTCACGTTAAGGAGTTTCCTCATCAGGAAAAGTTAGATGCAGTAAACCCTGAGCCTCTAGTATTAGCAGTGATTGATTGGACACCTCCATAAGAATTATCCCGTGTAGAACCCATTTCTGCTAGTAAGCGAGTTCCTGGTGCTTGGCGGGGTATACGTAGAGAGGGGCTCTCTATACTCCGTAGGTGTGGGTTTCAACCAGCCACCTCTAGGGGATACCAGTAAAAACCGACCTACCTGACTAGGAAGAAGGCTCAGCCAATCAAGAAGCGTTAAACTTATTTTATATCCTCGCTACAGCGTTATATGCTCTATTAGGGCCCCATTAGGATCAGGGATTGGGGATATCTAGGGGGCTAGTTTCTTTGAGGATGTTGGAATTTCGGGGTCTACCCGAACTTTTAACAAGTCCCCCCGATCTCTCAGCCTCATCCTTTATATAAATATAACGTGTGTATTAAGAGCTTAAGCACGGTCAAAATCCTAAAAGAAATACTCCGCCATAGCTTTTATTTCCCCCACCTCCGGATTTAAATATGGAACCACCCTTGTTACTAGATTTGAATGTAAAAACCAGTCGGATCCACCATGATATCGGATATTAAAGACTGTATGATTGTTGAAGAGGAGTGAAGAGAGAGGACACACCCCGCAATCGATGATGTTGAAGGGTGTATGAGGGACAGACTTGATATATATATATCATGAGCATATTTTTACCACAATTTTAATAGGTACCGATAGTTACAATATTTACAGCCTTTCATGTCGAAATATATCATCAAATGGCGCTTCATCCAGAACTACTTAGCAGGTGACTGTAGCTGACCGAATTATAAGAATACTCGCTTGATGAATGGCAAGAGGAAGAGCATCTTGGGAGCGGATGGCCGATCAGATACCGTGGACGTAGGGGATCTCCATAATGACGGTAAGTCACGAAGTATGTAATCAGATGTACCGGGAAGTGGTGGGGTGGTAATTATCCATTAACACCCGTTTATTTTTCTTCTGCATCTATCATACTATACTCCGTGCATAGTATACCTTTGTAGTAAGCTGAAGTCTGAGCCCATTTCCACTTTCATCTTAGCGTCTCGGCACGTGTGGGCTAATCGCCGTTTTGTCCAAAAAAGGCAGCTCGGGACCAAAAGGAAATTCATACGGAATAGATAGTAAAAAGGTGATTTCTCCAAGTTGGGTTCAGAAACCTGAAATGCTTATTTGATCTACATATACAGCTTTCAACTGCCCACTTTTTAAAAGCCTTTTTTTTGTATTTAATTCCAGTCTGTCTCCTCACTTGATACTCGTATCTGCCCACGGGGTTGGTACATACAACACAGTACTTTGTTATCCACTAACCATGCACGGCTTGAACTATGACGTGACAATAATAAATGATATTCATTATGACTCACACCATAGACTTGCCGTTTCCCTTATGCTACCTTGGCTCTACATAAGAATGCCTAACCTCTCAATATAACATACATTTCGGCTGCGCCGGAGATAGAAGCAATGCCAAGTATTCTTCATAGGAACATAATACTCCATCTGGACTCCACGTGACCGGGCAATACGGGAATACGGGAAACGCCAGGGTCTCTCGGGCTCGGAGGCTCGGAGGTTGCTTGGGTTTTCGCCCGGACGATCCATGTGGGTCTCCAATATCAAGTCCCTCATACCTTGTTCAATCACATTCACAGTTTCTGTTGGGCTTATTTTTCTTTGTTTTTGCTTTTTGTTGGTAATCAAAGCAATAAAACGAAAGGCTTAAGTTTTGGAATACTTCAAACGTTGTATAACACGGGAGAAAGTTCCGGGACCATGGGTGGTTGAACGGCTAATCGGAAGCTTTTATGTAGTCTTCGGAGGTTGGAGCTGTATGGTGGACTTTTTATACTATCTCCGGCATCCCACATTGGGGTTAACATGTACGAAGATGTTGACTCACCGATTATCATATAATCAGATACCTATGTAGAATACAGTATTCAAACTATAGAAGTGGGCCTAGATCGCCGTTCCAATGATGATGCTCATTTCCTTTCAGCCCGCGTCATCCGCGCCTGGACATGTTATGGTATAGTTACTCCGTGCGCAACAGCCTCATATTTCCTCTGCCACAACTAGGTCTCGGAATTCGGCGATAGAACGGAAGGCCCCAGAGAAGGATGGCAAACACTGAAGCAATTGGGAAATATGGTTCTTGGTTATCCGAAAGAAAAATTCCATTCTTCGGGTCTCTGCCGTCTTAAACGGATCAAACCATTATTGCCGGGATAACCGGTCAGAGCTTCCACGTCTGGTGACGAAATCCACTAAGTGGCTACGGACCATACATCTGTCTTGGCGAATGATTTTTCGTATTGGTCCTGGACAAAGGGATTGACACTGGTGCTTATAAATCGCACCATATCCCCTACAGGGCTGAGGCAGCTGATTCCTATACATCCCCCATTCCTCCGCCTGGGCAATCATACCTAATACATAGTTCTTCTATATTGTTAATAGCTTGTACAAAGCTCCTACATCATGACACAAACACTCTTGGCGACACCGCACCACCCCGGGCGCAGCGGACGAGGTTCAGAGAGTGATAGCTCGCTCGATGAGATCGCGCAGGAGAAGCAGAATGCGCTGGCGGCAACACTTGGGCATCATGGAAAGGACCTCGACAATTCGGCATCCCCGAAACGGTGGAAGAGTTTCTGGACGGCATTTCGACACCTGGCGCACTTGACCCCGAAACAAGTTGACGATTTCATGGCGTCATATGTCATCTATAACCTGGACTGGTCCGACGAAAAACAAATGACCGAGTCGCTGGGCCCCAACTACCAAGAGAAAGTCGGCGATTGCTTGAAATCCTATTACGGAGTCCTGAACCACCTGTGCGCACTGGGCGATGTCGAAAAAATGTACATCCCGCCATGGATGAGCCCCAAGTCCAGCGTACTGGAGAACCAGATCCTATACGAGCGCTCAATCGCACAAGATATCGGCCTAGGGCCAGGAAAGAAGGTGCTGGATCTGGGCTGCGGCCGCGGGCGCGTCGCTGCCCACATGGCGCAACATACCGGCGCGCAGGTAACGGGCCTCAACATCGACCCGAACCAGGTCGAGCAGGCGACGACCTTCAACAAGGAGCACGGACTCCAGAATAACTTCGTCACGCAAGATTTCAACGATCTCCCTCTGCCCTTCGCCGACGAGAGCTTCGATGCGTTCTACCAGATTCAAGCATTGAGCCTGTGCAAAGATCTACCCGCCCTGTTCCGCGAGATCTTCCGTGTCGTCAAGCCGGGCTCGAAAATCTCCCTGTTGGACTGGATCAGCTTGCCGGATTACGACGCTAGTAATCCGGAACACGCGGAGCTCATGCGCCGTGTCAAGCCGCTCATTGGTGCTGTCGGTACACCCACGCAGGAAAGTCTCGAGGCGGCGTTGAAGGAGGCTGGGTTTGAGGTCGTGCGGTCGGAGAATGCTAGTATCGATGGTCTCCAAGCCCCACTTATCGATACCGTCGATGTATATTTCCGCACCCTCCGCCAGGCGATCCTTGCGCTCGTCAAGGTGCATGTGCTGCCAAAACACTTCAAGACTTTGATTAATCGTCTTTGTTTGGATGGTCAGGCTTTTGTTAAGATGGATCGCATGCGACTGGCTACAACGAGTTATAGTATCATCGCACAGAAGCCCAAGGCTTAGGCTTGGATCACGGTTTCTCGGCGGCACTCGAGGTATGAGGAAGTTGGATGGAATTCAACAATTTCCTGATATCGGACTCTGTGGAGATCAAGTCGAATCAGCATCCAGATCACACCCCCTCTCCACCTCGACGCCATTGTCGCCCCTCAGAATCGATTGGACATCTGGACACACATACCCTGTACATTTATAATCAACGGATTAGAAGGTTGTCGGATTTGACGCATGGGGGAGTTTCGGTTATTTATTCTATTTTTTTTTATCTGTTTGTCTTTTTTTTGGAGTGGTTTCTTGAGCAATAAGGAGTTTCATGAAGGGAATTACTTGCTATGGATTACCGTACATAGTTCACAATAAATACTACATTCAAGGATATCTTGTTTTAAGTAAATATCGCCTCAAAAAAACAACAAGCATAAAAACGAAAGAAAAATAAACAGATAATAGCATAATTATTTATGAACAATAAAAAGCAAAAGAAAAAAGAAAGGTCCTGCCCGGGATCGAACCGGGATTGCTGGTATCAGAAACCAGAGTGATGACCATTACACTACAGAACCCAATTGTTGAAGAGAGCTGCCCTTTTTATAGACAAGACACTACTTGGCTTTTATCTACATATTGCACACTGCACTCCGTCCACAGCTGTCCTGCAACATCCCCGCTATTCCCTATTAGGAGAATTCCATACACCCTTGTACCCCCCCTCTAGAATCTTGGAAATGTTCAAGTCTCCTTTGAGCTGCATCTGCATGGCAGCGTAAGCCCAGCACATCTTATCTGCAATATTTGAACCTGCTCCTTCCCTCCCAACCACCCCCGTGACCGTGGGGCAATCCCTCCATAATCTCCAAGCGCCCCGTAGATCCCGGCTTTTTTCTCCACCACAACAACCATATCTCCAATCTACCAGTACTCCATGTCTCCTTTACCGTCTTCCGTCACGGCACTATCTGCGCCGGGCAAAGTGCTCTTAACCGGTGGCTATCTCGTTCTAGACCGCGGCTACACGGGTACTGTGTTTGCGCTCGATGCCCGCATTCATGTTATTGTCCAACAACTGAGGAGGGGTCATCGCCGCGGGGCATCAGGATCTGGGCCCGCTGTTAGTGCCGAGGCGCTGTCTAATTCGGGCGC